ACTTATTAGTTTTGTTAGTTGTACTTACTTGTATAGTCAAATACATTAGTGTGTATTATTCTCTGTGTGTGTTGTGTGTGTATATATATATATATATACACACACACACACACATATGTACATACCAGAAAAAAATATATCAAAATTTAACTACAAAATTATGCCTCCATTATTGGGGATATTCCATCTGTCAGGCAAAATCCAAATACCAATGTAAAATTCACCAGCAACTAAGGGAGAATCAGTAAATGGTTACGAGTTGAGTGCTTGAACTCACATCCCAAATCCAACTGCCTTTTCATGTCTGCAGCCAGTTGTGGGAAGGTAGTTACCAATAATATTTAGAAATAGCTTTAATATAGAATTAAACCGACCCAAAAAAATTATACAAAGTAAATCTCCCAACCTCCACCCCTTTAATTGATGTTATAAAAAAATAGTAATAATATTTTATAGTAGAAATATGCTACCCTAAATTTCTAAAGAACTCCCAACCTCTACTCTTTTATTTACTACTTAGTGATGTTAAAGAAAATGAAATACCCTCACCATTCAAGCATAAACCAGGTGAGCTGAGACAAGCCCAGCATCCCGAAGTTAGTCATGCCTCCCTAGTGTACTGAACTATTCTAACAGTGACAGTTAGCTACTTAAACCAAGTAGCTAACACCCTCTAAATTTTCCATAATGCAGTTTCCATGAACAAGAGCTTAACCTTTAACAAAGTTTCCATTCATTATAAAAAAGTAACAAAAAATTTTAATAAACCAGTCCTGATAACTATTATTTTTCAGTTTATTTATGAATAATTTAACATTATCAATAAAAGAATTACTGTTCTTACAAACTCTTAAAAATCTTTTTAATTGGGAGATAATAATATGTATAAGCTATTAATTCTTATACTTAAACACAAATATCTCATTGTTCAATATTCTTTTGCAATGACCAAACAAAATGCCACTTGACAAATAACATTCTCTTACTTACCAGATTAATAAGTGTATGAGCAACTCTGTGAGGATATTCATGGTCGGAAATCACAACTCCTGCTAAATTGTCAGATCGTACATAAACATAACACATGTACTCTGTAAACCAAAAAATTCTCATCAATAATTTTCAATGTAAGAGCATTCACTATGAAGTATTACAAAGATAAACCTATTATTTTACAAATCTTCAATAACATCTGAAGCACATCATATTACTCCCTTGGAAAAAAAGAATTTTTTCTCAAAATAAATGTTCTCATGAATGGTTTTGCTATAGTAACTCACTGCTTGCATTAATCTGATTTTTAATCAAAAATATCTGCCATGTCTAAATAAAATAGTTATTTTTAAACCTGTTCACTAATATTGTCAATATAAGATATATTACCAAATATGGGCTTAAAGTTTAATACTTTCTTGAAAAACACTTATGTCAAGTTTGAAGCATTTCTATCCAGAAAATAGTTTTGAAATTCCAGAAAATGTTCACAAGATTTATAAAACATTATTATAGAGCAGGTCATAGGCAGCAAGTCTAAAAAGAATAACATTATCTTGTTCTATGTACCTTGCATGCTAAAATTGAATGAAATAATGCAATTAGCCAATAAGTGTTTTGTGTTTTCTACCACCAAAAACAAAATGAAGAAACTCAGCAAAATATCAAACTAAGTTCAATGTCATGAAAATAAATGCACCACAATGAAATAATTTCCAAAAACACAATAACCTTATTTTACCTTACATCTTATGATTTAATGAAATCCACAAATAGATGGTTTTTAAATTGTAAAAAAACACTTGCACCAAAAGAATTGGATAACTAGTGAAGACTGATAAAAAGAAACTCTCAAAGATAGGTGATGGCACAAAATACTACATCATAAAAGAAAGTCATTTCTTCCTCCAGAATTTCAATACAAAGAAAGTGAGAACAGCTAAATAGCACATAAGAGCTTCAGAAGAATATCACAACAGAAAGGATTACAAAAACTGTGAAAACAACTAGATCTGAAACAAATAGTAGATTTTACTATTGAAAAATTTGTTATACCTTGTTTACCTTAAATTGAAAATGATTACTCACAATAATGGTAGTAAAATTTACATATTTTGTATAAAAGTGTTCAAAGTGATAAATAATATTCAACTCTACATGTACGGCATTGGTGCACTGCACCAACCCACTTTTCTGTGAAGCTAAACATGGCAACATTTATGAAATTTGGCAAGCTTTTAGTAAACACTACAAATATGTTGTACGCAAAAACAATTTTTAGCTGAAAATATATTTCAGATAGATACTTATCTTACTTCTCTGTATCAACAAGAGCAACTACCTAGCATGCAACAGCCATGGAATTTCTAGCATATTGCCACAAGCACTGAAAAAACCCACACCCTACATGTATCAACATCTACTGCATCAGTCAAAGACAATCATCATAATACTGTAGCCCTACACCAATAGAAGGGTGACACAACCTCCGTGCATAGTATTCCTTGCGAATGTTAGCATATAACCATAGACTCATTCTTGATGAAGCTAAGAAAATGCACTGGAAGTGAAAAGGATGAATGAGAGGTGGTGTAGGATGAAAATGTTAGCTTTGGAAATGTTATTTACCTCTCTGCATCACAAAGAGCTAGAATCCCACAATGTAGATGGTGGAAGGGCAGGTGCAGACCATTTATAAAAATGAGCTGCTTTCCAAAATAGAGACATAAAGGGAATTGTTACTGATTTATCTATACAGTATTTCCATTATGAAGAGAATAAAACAAAGGAAATCGGGAAAATTCATTGCTGGTGGTAGTGTGTCCCCAAGATAGGCAGAATGTTAAAATGGCTAGGGCTTTAGACTATACTGTCTTGGTGAAATACTTACATCAGATAGATATTGTAATGACAGGTGAAGGGAAGAGGAGCCCTCACCTGCATTCTGAGGCAAATCCAAGTCCAATCAGGTTGGACATTTCCAGGGAATGGAGAAGTAAGAGTTCTCCCATGCTCAATAGAAGAACAGGGGGAGAACACTAATGAGTGTACATGGACAACTGTCAAGCACAATCATCTGAAGTTAGGTCCCCACCAGGAGAGAGTGCTATGACAGACAGCACATGTAAGCCAGGTGTAAGGGCTGGAATAAACCTTGTGCTGTTTTTTTCTCTTTGTAAAAGTGGTGTGAGATACTGCTGCCAACTTGGTGGGATCTGATAGCACCAAGCATGAGGAATGTAATTATGATTTCTCTTGTTATGTTCAACCTGATGTGTATTGCCTCCTCCTCTTTTTTTTTGTGATAATTTTGCAATTTGTTGGAATGTGTACAAAAATAATGGTACACATATGGAGGTGCCATGAAATGTATGAAGGACACAGAATTGACTGTAAAAGCCAACAGGCAAAACTCACTACACTAAAGCTTCTGTGTAGACTGGAGGGAAGCGAAACCTGAGACACATAAAATCACCCAATAATATAATTAATGGGAGATAAGTGTGTTGGGTGTAGTTCACATACCAGTCTTTAAGATCTTCAAAGGCCTGCAACTAAAAAAAGCAAGAAGGGCTGTGATATGCTGAACCTGGTGAGACACACAAAAGAATGTACAGACTCATTCAAAGAAGAATATGCAAAACAGATAAGCAAACAAACTTAGCCACTAAAAGTGGAAGTGGTCAAAACCCAAGAAGAGGGGGTCTATCATGGTAAAAATAGGCAATGACAGTTTCCATGAAAGGGGGCAGTCTGAGGAAGATACCAACAGACAGCTGGTACAGAACACAAAAGGTAATCAGGATTGGCACAATCGTACAATGAGGAAATAGAGGGTAGAAAGATAAATGGAAATATTGCCTTCTCAGGTAGCCCTTCAGATGAAAGAAGTAGTTTGGAACCAACCTCAACTGGTCCCGATAAGAGACTATGGGAGGTGTCTAAGTCGTATGTGTCTGAACAATGATGACCAAAAAAGAAGAGACAAATGATAAGAGAAACATGAGGTCAATAGTTTAAGGAAGAGGGGGAGGGTACAATTAAGAATTGAAGAGCCACACAAAGGTCTTAGACAGAAAGAGGGACTGGGTAAAGGGGCAATGGACAGCACAAAATAGGCTTTGAAGAGGTCCATGAGAATAAGAGGGTAGGCAAAGAGAAAAGATTGGACCAATCCAGAATCAGAGCATCAAAAGCCAGAGCAATATAGTCCAAATCAGCGACCAAAAGAGGGGAAGCATGGAATTGAGTGGTCCAAAAAATATCGATCAGTGGGGGCTCAAGATGGGAAGAAATCCACTGAAAGACTAGAGGATGCAAGGATTACTCTGTAAGATAGATCCTGTTCAGTAGAGACAAGTGACCTACCACCAGATTCAAAACTCCCCTGGGACACGAAATACTACAAAGAGAATATGGCTTGGCACACTTGGCCTTAATTAATAGTTTATTTTTAAATTGCCATTTCAGTTCATTTTAGATGCCAACAGTAGCACTTACCACCAGCCAGCATTGTTAGTTTCTTCACTCATAATTTTGAAACACAATGAAAATATGTAGTATTTTTATCTGTTATGTGATCCAAGTTGGTTTACTTAAAAAGTTTTTAATCCAGTTCTAATCTACCAGAGTTCATTATGCTTCACATGCTCACTATATACAGTGGAGCACAATGAGCTGTGGGAGAAAATAATCCAGTTTCAAGCACAGTGACTGAAAAATTTTGAATCATTAACATTATTTACTGTAATGAATACTGAATTTGAGTTAGCATCGTTGATTAATATGGTGTTTAGCATTGTGATGATGGATAAACAGATATAAAGATATGTACTTATAATTTGTATTTAGAGGTTGTAATAGGTGAAATTTACTTGTGATTTTGCATTAAAGAGTCAAAGTAACATCTGGGCTTTTACAACACAACAAAAGTCTCCCAAAAAATTTTAAAAAAAAAGTGTCAATATTCGAATACCAAATTTCTGTTTGAATATTCTTTAAAAAGTATTCTTAATCAAACATTCATTTCAACTGTACCAACAAGATCAGAGGAACTTTGGAATAAGAATCTCCAATAAAGAGTGTAAGAGGATCAACATCTAAGCAGCTATCACGCATTAGTAATTTCCCTAATGTGCAACATGAAGTCTTCTTGTATATGAAGCATTTTGAGAATAATGTGAAATTTTAAAAATAAGTGACATCACAAGATGGTGTGGAAAAAAAGTACATAGAAGAACAGGTCAACTATCATTTAACAATATATTTCTTCATTAACGTAGCAGTGCATTCTGTATTTGAAATTAAATGACGAAACACTTTTATACATATATCTCTATGATTCTTTACAATTTTTAGATAACAGTATGATACATGTTCTTCTAATTTTTATTCGTTCCATAATAAAACATACTTGTTGGTACTATTGTATAAATATTTATTCCTTAACTCTCATTACTGCTTCAGCGGATTACACTGATCACATGGCCCTAAAGTGACTGTCAGAGTTTCCATACTGTAAGTATTAATAACTTTTAACATATTTTGTGTATCTTCACAAAATTTTTCAAGCTTTTAGTAAACATTACAAGACATTTGTACACAAAAAAAATCCGAAATTTTAATCAAGTATTTTTACTAAAACTCTGTCTATGAATGTATGGAGTCAGAGAATTGACTGACTCGAGTGTAAAGTGATTTTCGTGGTAAGATTAAAAATATTTTTCTTCGTCTGAAAAGTTTGAAATTTCATTTGCATAATATCTTAAAACCCTTTTTGAGTGACTGTAACCACCATAAGACTTTAAAGGTTGAAAAAATGTGAAATAAAGTAAGTATTAATTTCGGTGACGAGGGTCCCACTTTGAGACTAATAATGGCTGGAGAAGGCTTAAATGGGTAATGAAGAAAAACTTTAATATAAGTTTAACATAACAGCAAATGTACAACGTTTCGACAAGGTTTTGTCATCATCAGGTACAAGTAATTTACACTGACACATTAAGTATCATATTGGTATTGACCACAAAGTTCCAAGAGAGTTTCTACTTCTAATCTTTTCACAGTTATTTGACATGTTTATTCTACTGTTAGCAGCTGAAGTATAAACCTGCCGAACACAAAGCAGTGAATCACTGCTCCTGCCATAAGACTGTTTACATGACACCATAATACAAGACTATTGATAACATATAAGTTCATAAAGCACAATTACCAGAACTGTCCCACAGAGTTTATCATAATCCCATCTCCAAGAACATAGTGAGAGGTTTTATCAACTTGTTTATAGTACAGCGGTTGCAACAAGAAATGTCTAAAGAAATAAAAGTGCAAGAAAATCTTTATGATATGGCTCTGTATAAAGTCTGGGCTGATTCAATAAACTCGGTAGGTATATGGACGTTAGTTATCCTGCCGGGACGGGCAGAATTTAGCGGAATGGGTGTAAAAATAAGTGCTTATGAATATGTACATATATATATATGATATTTGAAACCATCACAACTTGGTGAAACTTCATAATTTCAGAATTGAGGAAAAAACAATCTTACATTTCATAAAACCTTCATTTATTAATGAACACACACACAATTTACTCATAAGTTCCTAATTTTTAGCTATTTTTCTTAAAACATAGAATAATAATTAAAAATATATATAGAAAAACAATGATTTCTAGTACTTATGGTATTACAAAATTGATTTATACTCATGCTGAGCCTTACCATAAGCATCGTTTATTCTCTCAAGTGGAGGGAGAATACACATTTTTGTAGATTTGAATAATGTATTTTAGAAAACCAAAAAATTATTCAATTAATATACTGGTACACATAAAACCACTGTAATTTATCTAGCTTTCTAACTAAGCTATATGTGGGTTTAAATAAATTCTCATTTCTGTTCAAAGCAATAACTTCACCATTTCTATTTGAATTACAAGTTTCCCCTTCAAGCCAATTACAACCAACTGTCAGATTTTTATAGTTTAGAATATGCTCTTACTATCGGTTATAAACATGTACTTGAGAGAAATAGTAGACAAGAGGTTTTAAAAAAATGAAGTAATAGGAAAGGTTACCCTGGTAGGTGTGCAAAATATATCGATGATTCTTTACATTTGTTTTTATTTTATATTATAGCTTGTAAATGTCTGAAATTTGAGTTTCTAATTCAGTAACTACTACAGACATATGGTAGGCATAATAAAATATAAACTAAGAAATAAAACAAGATGTGCCATATATAGCACAAAAAAACATTTAGCATTTTTTTAAATTAAGAAAATAAAACATGTGTAATATTAAAACTTAAACTATAAACTATGTTATGATGCCAATTTTATTGGCATACAATGATAATAAAGTTTTTAATTATATTTTGAAAATAGCTCTAAAACATCATGACATGCACCCTTTGACCCATCTAGAGCAGAGGGTTAAAGGAGATCATGCAGTAAAAACAGTTGTGTGAGATCTACTCTTAGGATTTTTGCCTTTAATATTTCATCACACAATCAAATTCTATCAATTTTCCCAATATAAACTAAGCAATCATGTGAACAAAATCTTGTTCAATTCAATGCTGTTTTTTGAAATAACTGAAACAAAATTGATTACATAATAATCACATAAAATATTGATTTAAAATATTAAAAAACTTTCTTTTGTGCTTAACATCTTTATAATATGCTAAATGATTAAGTTTTATCAAACAGTTTTACATATTAAAAAACATAGAGGAACATTACCTTGTTCCTTTACTGAAGATCGGCTTGCTGCTGTAGTTCTCTCAACTAAGATCTGGCTTGTAAACTTCATGAACTCCTGAACACTGAAAAAATAATCATACAAGCAAGTTCTTTTTCACATAGACATTACATGCATTGTTAAGATTAAGAACACAAATCTTACTCAGTGACCTTGAACTTATAACAAATCTTCACTTTTAATAATATATATCTGTTGAAGATAAAATATTTAGTCTTGTACATTTTTTGTTGTATATATTTAATACCCATGTTGCTAAATCATTTTAAAGGGATGGGCAAAAAGGCTGAAAACAAATACTGTTTATATGAAGCAGTATGGAAATATGCCTAAAGATGAATCCTTTTGTGCTCACTGACCGTGACCTAGATAAGTATCAGGTGCTGGAGAATGGGAACATTGAAATGTTGTTAATTTGTTCAATCACTTCAGTAGATTTGAAAACTTTAACCCAATGACCACCTGCTACTAACTTTCTGAGTAGCCAATGCAAGTCTTGCTATATTTCATTCCAACAATAAAACTAGAGGATGAAACTACTTGAAACTTCATAATAACTTTCATAAATGCATGTATTTCAAGAAACATAAAGTATGTTGCTTCGGTAAGTTTAGTTTTTTTTTGCATTATGAACTTTAATATCTTGGAAAATTACATTTGGAAATGGTATTTATAAAAAATGATTACAATATTTATATCTGTTCCAGATTTTAACTTATTACTTTTTATGTTTTAGTACATTATTTTAAAATCCCAATTTTATTTATTGTCCATAAAATGCAAATGTTATCTATTTTTAATAATCATGTACTCTCCTTATGGTTTCAAGTAATATACAAGACCCAAAAATAATATTTGTAAATAAACCTAAACAATAAATGAATATTTTTATATTTAACTTGGATTTCATGTTTATATATATGTACATAAAAACATTTTAATTTTGTTCCATAAATGTATTTTTATTTCAAGTTTATGTTTCATTGCAGCCATACTTTTGTTTATTGTGCCGAATAACCGTGGAGTTAGCAGCATGAACTTTGTACATTTGCCGTAAACTATCATGTCTGTTGGTGGTCACGCTCGTTCAGTCCAGCACAGGCACATTTTAACATTACTGTAGATATGATAGTAAGAAAGCTCTTCGGTACTTGAATATCATTTCTTTGAACTTTCAAACAAGTTTATTTCAACATATGTCCTTGTATGTTGTTTCACTATACAGACAAAACTAATTGCCACTACTAGCAAATGTGTGTAATAGTTTACACTACAGGTGGTTTGAATAACATCGCATGACCCTAGTTACATGATACATCCTATTACAAGAGATTACCAAAGGATACAAACACCTTAAATTACAAAGAAAATTAATTTACAGCACTTAAAAGATTAGTCCTGGTCACATTCCACTCATTATAGGCAAGATTTATGTTGGAAATCAAAACTTAAGCTCTTCAGTGTATTGAGACCCCAACTGTGAGAATGTCATAGCTTCTCACATTATTATTGAGACAAATGTATTTAGTCTGTTTCACAACCAACATATGGGTTTTATTGTTGGCACTTGTACACTGAGTTTTAAACCATTTGTAAAATATCAAAATAAACGTTTTTATATATATTAGTTACTGTTTTAATTCTAAAGCAACAACAACAGAAGTGCGGGTCTTACTACAAAGTAAAGATAGTAGGAAGGAAAAATATAAAATTCTTATGTGGTACTGGTAGTATTACGTACAAATCACACTTTATCATTCTAAATACTGAATCATATTAATATTATTATGAACTAGATATAAAATTATGCTAAATTATCGAATTTAAAACTATTAATTTAAAATGCAAAAGAATATAGCAAATCACAAACTCTTAGTTCAAAGTGCTAAGCCTAATTTATGTAAAGACCTTACACTCGCCACTCGATAGTTCTTAACCCTAACCATCGTGGATCAACTTCTTTCCTAAAAAATATATCTATTTTGAATTAATTTTTCAATATAATGATTAATATAGATATAAGATACAGCATGACTTAAGCTACTATAGAAAAATAATAAAAGTCACATACATCCCATGCAGTTTTTTCCAGAAGCAAGTTTTCTAAGGTTTATAAAAAAAAAGTACTATTAACCAATAATAAATACAACCTCTACATAAAATGGCAGTTACTATAATAAGCACCACCAACATTCATATTGTAAAATCCATAGAACAACGTTTTGTCACGTGCTTTGCTTATGATCCTATGATTTGTCAAACGTGAAATACAGCGATTGGAATAACATGGTACTGAAATTGACACCTTCGACTAGGATTGGCTAAAAGTTTTACAACTGAGGTTTAACACACCCAGACACTGTTTTATAAAAAAAACAGACTAGAAAAAGGTTTAGATACCAATCATTGATGGCAGGGCCAGAGCTGAAGTGCAAGTAAAAAGTTTAAAACTTTTTTAAAAAAATTTTCTTCTTTGAAGGTGCTTATTTATATATAGTCTCAAATATATTTTGGGATTTTTTTATTGAATTTCTCATTAAACTTCATTAAATAATACAATTTTGTACAAATAATTGAATGTTATGCTACTATTTACAAAAATAAAATCTGAAATCCAATAAAAGATAAGTTTTCTATAATTTTTTCAATTCATAAATGTGATTTTGCCCTCACAATAAGATAAAATGGCCACAGCAGGTAACGGGTTAATGGACATCAACTGCTTGTTGAAAGAAAAGAGCTGATGTTTCAGTTTTTATACCGAGGTGTTATCATAGAAGCAGAAATGTTGTTTCCTTTTCTTTCAACAGGCAATTGCAGCCTATTAAGTTTTCCAATCCTACTGTGTCTACTCTGCCTGAAATTCCATTACAACAATCACTTCAGTAAGCTTGCACTTGTGGTTCTAAGATTCACAAATATGACCTGGAACCAACATTCATTCATAACCATTTTTAAACAAAATGTTATTGATGAACAGAAGTACTCATATAACTTATTTTAAATATACAGTGAACTCTCATTAGTCCAAACATCTACAATCTGGATTATGAATAATCCAGATGAATTTTCATGTGCACAGATCTTCACAAGAAGAAATTTAATCAATAATACATATAATTGCATTCCAAATCAGAACAGCTATTTTCTTATAACAAACATGCATTTCCTATAGATATATAATTCAGTAAACCATACTCGACTCCATGAAATACACATTGGGGGTCAATCTGAACAGGAATCAAGGTGATGATCATTGACCTCAAAACATCTGCATTCACAGTTGTCACCAGTTTATGATGATTTTTCTGAGAATGACCTTCACATTAGAAATGAACACAAACTATAACAGGTATCAAGAGGTCATCAAAGTGTTTTATTCTACAGTCAAGTCACAATGATCCAGAATGAAGATGCATAAAAATATCAGCATCATTAAAATGTGATGTTTGTTTATACAAGAAATCAATATATTTATTATGTATTTTGTATTCCAAAAGTAATTCATTGATTATGCCATTCTGAGTGTGCAATTTGTATCATTATTGATGACAAATAAGATAAAACATTGATTGATAACATATGCTTTTAATAGTGTACATTATTTAAAAAGTGACAGATTTGACTGTTTAGGTGTCTCACTAATTCAGAAGAAGTACTTCTTTGCAAATGTGTTCAGATCAATGAAGTGTATCTGAATTCCTAACATTACTATTGTTGTATTGTGTTGAATACAATAACCACAAATACTGGCCAACAATTTTGTTCAGCTGATGCTACTAAAATAATAAACATATCTCATTAAAAATAGAAAAAATTTTAATAGTTCAAGATGTTTAACCAACTATTATTTACTTTAGTTAAGGCATTATCAATAAACAACTTCAAAAAAAATTCACTCCATATTAAAAATACTGATTTGTCAAAAAAGTGATATTTAATATTTCTTGTTAAATGCTTGTTTTCAAAACAAGAGAAAAATATACCTGTTTCTTTGGAAAAAACCAAAGGATGAAAGATCACTAGCTGACTTCAAACAGGTGGCTTTGGTTGGATTTTTATACAAGACTGAGAGATAATACAGCTTTACCATGGTTACTCTGGTTCTTCCGATGCAAGATGTATTATAAATTTAACCTAAAATATATCAAATACATGCCTTAAGTTCAATGAAATACAATCAAATATGCCCCTGGTCCCTAGAATTTCAAAGAAAATACCAGTTACATAATCAAAGATGAAACTATTTGATCTAAATATTTAGTCAAAATAAATACAATGGATAAGTGAAATAGGGTGGCATTGTGTGCAGAGTGTTAAGTACATTAACATTTTCCTAAACTGAAAATGTATTTCCAATAGATACTTACTTCCTCTAACAAAAATCTCAAATTTTTTCTCACCACTAGCATTGATTTTCTCACTTATTTCTGCATACTAACATGAAAATGACTATCCAGCAACCCTCAACCAATAGAAGTGCAACACTACCGCTATCATAACTAGTGCCCTCTCTAATCTTGCACATGTTAACCACTTTGAAATTGATCAGATCGAACCACACCGGAAGTGGGGAGGACAGGTGGGAAATGTAAGCAGAGGCAAGTATCTATCGGAAATACATTTTCAGTTTATAAAAATGTTAACTTCCGATATGATATCTAACCCTCTCATAAAAAGCTAGAATCTCACAATGAACTGATGGATGGCCAGTGAGAAGATGATTCCCCTTTAGGAAGCAACCAATAGAAAACCACGGGGTGTGAGAATAAATTAAAAACAACACACCTGTGGGAGACTGCACCACTTCTGAGCCAGGTATACTCTTTGCCCTCTAGTAATGTGTTGTCAAAAAGGTTGGAAACATGGAGGGACCTCAATAAATAAATGGAAGCTTGATCTCAACCTACAATGGTGGCATCTAGAATTGTACATCACGTCTGCAGTAGGAAGAGGGTCCTTTACCTTTCACCTCAAAACAGGTATCGGCAGGGAAGAGGAGTTTCCATACCCAAGAACCAACCTATGCATAAGCACACCTCCAACACAACCAATACCAGATCCACTAGGAACCAACATCCAGCAGATGGTAAGAAGAGAAAGCCCAGGTAGGTGTTTGTCTCTAGTCCAAAACCTGGCAGCATTGGGAATTTATTATCCAGTCCGCAATAGGAGGAGAGTGCAATCCAAACACATGTGAGGACTTATGTGGCTGATCTGGCTCCAACCAACATCTGATCCCCTGGAACTGACATCTGGTGGACTGTAGGAAGGAGCATGCCTCAGCTGGAGGGGCAAACTGCAATATATGGTGAAGTGCCATATCCAATGCTTGGCAGCATCTGAATTTATATATCAGGTCTGCAATAGGAAGGGTGTCACACCTTCTACACCAGCAGAATACCATCACCTTACTCTCAACTGAGTGATATTGTGCACACACACACAAGAGGACAGGCCTCCATAGTCCACCACTCTAGCAGCTAGGAACTGGTAAGTGGCAAGGACTCCCATACTCCACTAGAAGAAGGAGGGAAAACATGTATTTGAGAGTCCAGAGGACCACAGCACCAGAAACAGTGCAATGGGTGATTATGATACCTATTTGAAAAAGTAGAGCAATCTCATCAACAGAATCAATCGTCGAACATCTGGCAGCATCAGGAAATGTACATCATGTCCGCAGTAGGAAGAGCCTCAACACCACAGATCATCAGAAGTGGGCAGCAATCCCTGTCTGCTTCACTCATGTTAGTCCATGAGTGTACGGTCTGAGACAAGCATATTTATGAAGCAACAGACCACAAAAAATACCTATGAGCAGTCCTGGGGAACACCTCATCTCTACAGTGTGTGTAAAATGACCTTGTGACGTGTTGAGATCATAATTCAATGCACAGAGGACACATTGACAGAGTTGATTAACCAACATCTGGCAGCATCTGGAAATGTACATCAGGTCCATGATAGGAAGGGCCTCAACATCACATTCATCTAGCATGGTATATGATCACACGTATCACAGTGCAGATTCAAGACTAAGTATACTTTGTCAGGCAACATTCACCACAGAGCAGGATCCAAATATGTGATAAAGGCCCCTGAAAAGAAAAAATATATTAATGGAATACTTTCCACCCACAGATAAACATTTACAACACTGATGATGTCCCCCAAGGGAAGATGGAAATGTGCAGTTAGGGACATAGTAATGTGACGAATCTGATGGGAAGAAAACATGACAAAGGCAACAATCATCAAGAGAAAGGGAAGAAAAATACCAGGAATTCTACATGGAATGGTAATGGAAAAAAGGTCACAGGGGAGGTGAGGATTTCACAGAAGAAACAAATGGACTCAGGAACCATGGAAGGGAGCAGTACGTGTCATACTATTGAAGAGCCCTGGGTGGGAAAAGGAGGTGGGTGGGATCAGAACAGTCATAAAGGTTGGAAAAGCCTTGGACAAAAAGGAACAATCAGGAAAGAGGAGAACATAGGAACTAAGAACACAAAAAAAGCAGCAAACACCAATCACAAACATATCAGAATGACAACATTCACACACCAACAAAAGCAGGAACAGGGACTTCAAGAACTGGTGATTTTAAGAACATGCAGACAAAAGGTCCAATGGAGGATGGGGAAAAACATGAAGGACCATATAGAGGTGCTAATCATGAAGGGAAGCAGGATAGGACAGGAAGAATGAAAGAAACTAAACAACATGGATAAGACTAGCAACTGGAAAACACAAGCAAAGTCAGTAAACTGAAAAGGGGCAGATAACACCATCTTATGCCCCACAACAGAGAAAACCTAAAGGCCACATTCAAAAAGCAAAGGCAAAAAGGATGGCATGTGAGAAACCCGTAGGATGGGAAGGACTATAACCCCATTAGGACAGAACAAAAGCGGTATGTGTACCACATATGTAGGTAAACTGCCAAGGAGGAAGAACAAACAAGATGGAAAACAAAGGAAGCTACATGCGAAAATCCAGCTCTGAAGCGAGGGACTGAACAAAGCCATGCATGGAGGCAAAGTACAAGTATGGATAGATGATGGATGCTCAATTGTGATTGATGGAGGATTGTTGGAGATAAGGAAGAGAAACAGAGGCGACACAAAAAACTAGCATAGGAATAGAAATCACGTGTGCACCAGCCAATACGTAACCAGCAGCAGAATACTACACAGAATGGTCTGAAGAATGGCAGGGACATGTGAGACAAAGAGGAGGATATGCATATAGAAACCAACCCAACCAATTCCATCTAAGTGCAGTGACTGTTCCTGCCAAAGGATGAGAAACAGGAGATCAAACTGGGGAAGTAGTGTATTGAGTAAAGTGACAAAAGCATCCAAATCTGGGACACACCATAGAGCACACAAAATCTGAAAAATGGGTAGATTCAAAGACCACTCCACAGAGAGAATCTTGTTGGGATAACAGATTCAGGGCACCTGGATTATGACATGCCAACAAAGTGATGGGACAGCAGTGGGCCCAACACAGAAGACTCATTGTTATCAAAACAGAGGTCTGTCAATGAGTGCCCCTTGCCTGGTGATGTACAAGACTACCATAGAAATGTTGAAATAAACCATCACCAACTGTTCCCTAGAAGCCCAGAGAATGTGAAGAAAAACCCAACAGCAAGAAGTTCCAAGATTGATATGGAGAGAGGACTTCACACCAAAACCTCCTGAGTGTCAGGAGACACCCCCAAAGAAAAAAAAAGCATCTGTTGAAGGTGACATTCCAGACAAGGTGGAGGAACATGCACAGTAATATAGGTCAGAACCAATCACCAGTCAAAGTCAGTCTGTAAGGAAGAAAGATGGGTAAACGGGGCACTTAAGAGAACCTGAACAAGGCTCCTTTGGTCTATCAAAACCCACTGATGATGACGCATGAGAATGTGATCAAGAGGAATGGGGGCTTCAAAAGAAGCCCATGTCCCCAAAAGAGAGAACCTCACACACAGTAGGAGAAGGAGAGGATGAGATGCTGCATACAAGACATTCCATAGCTCAAAATTGCAGTGTAGCAGGCAGGGCCCAATGGAGGAGGAAGTTAAAAAACACCCCGAGATGATACAAAAAATTGTGTGGATGTGAGGAAAAATTGCTCCATTTTCACAAGCCAACCTACCATGATAATGTCCTGGAGAGGAAACTGAAGATGTAGGAATGAATCGTCTTGTTAGGAGGTAAGAAGCAACCATATGTCCATAGAATGGTGAAAAAAAGGCTCCTGGAATGAATCAGGTGGTCAAAAAAAAGAGGTTACCGAGAAATAGAGAAGAAAATGGGACTGTGAGACAACAGGGGAGATGAATGGAAGTAGAGGACTGGACTAATTGAAATGCCTGTCAGAACCCATGAATTGAATGCCAAGGACCTCCAAACGTGGGCAAATTGAAGGAGTCTGGCCCCCCCAGCAACCCTGACCCAAGAAGGGTGGTCAGAGGAAGACAAATTTGGGAAAAAATAATCAAGTTATTGGTGTCCAATCCCCACTAAGGTAGAAATGATACCAAATGCTGTGAAGCCAAATACGGGAAGTTGGAATGATGATAATTAAAAGCATGATCATCCACAGTACATGGGGGTCAAGGCAAACCAGTCCCCCAATGTAATTGCTCCCCAAAACCCAGTGAAAGAAGAAACACTAAAATAATGACCCGAAGGCTAGTCCACAAAAAGAGCAGGGGTGGAACATAGGAAACGGGAGATAAAGACAGAATACAACATACCTGAATAATCAAATCCACTAAATGGGAAAAATGTCTGGGCAATTACCCTGAAATGACATGTGACTGAGAGGCATATTCAGAAGGATAAAAAAGGCTATCCAAATCCAAAACTTCCTGATCACGGAAACCCATGATAGGACAACCATCATTTTGTTCTGATTGTTGCATGATGTTGGTCAACTCCCAACAGACCAGAAGTGTCACTTCACGGGCCGGGTATCATGGTTCTAATCCATTTGATGTGGTCAGTAATTCCACTGCAGCAGTTGTACTTGTGACCACCTGAAACTGCAAATGCATAGCTCATGAAATTGAAAGAGGAGAGAAGAAAAATAAAGTAATTTGTAACCTACCACAAAAAAGAATGAAAATTGTA